CTCACTGTCTCAGTTCACTTTTACACATAATTGTGGACTTAAAGATCCTGTTATGTTGGGTGGACGAGAAAAGAATCGACTGTTGATGTGGAATGGATTTTAGATACTTTCACTTGCATACGGAAGATACATCACTCACGACTAGCTCTGTGGTGGATTGTGTACCAGAGTAGATAACGGCTGTTCACCTAACAAATAGACAATTAGTGCTTTGCTCTTCACATGTTGGTCAAGGACTTTGTAGGAAGGTAAGGACGTTTTGATGTGTAGTCTAACAGCTGTACATAGCCATGAGACTCATTCATAAGAGCTTATCAGTGTTCATTGGAGAAAACTGGATATTTTAGAAAACGCTTTGCACAACAGGGTACAAACTATTTTCACTGTACACCTGTAACTTTTATATATGTATAATATCACATATTTTCAAACCGTATATGATAAGATACTGTTAGACCGTAAAGAAATATGGTCGGTTGCATATAACACAAATATTTTAGCATTTGGTTATTTCGCAAACATCAGAGTCTAGTGTCCGCATCGTTAGCTGAAAAGACACCTTCTGTCTGGGTGTAGGTCAATGCTGGAATTTGCTACCTATTGAGCTGGTCTGAGAGACTTCCCAGGATTCCATTAAAATAAATCTTGATGCACTCTTAGTGAATTAGGACAGTATTTTGCTAGAATTTAACAATATTTTTCATCTCTTATTGTTAAATATACTTGAGTTCTTAAGTAGCAGCATCTGTGACCCACTCTTACCAGACACGGAAGCCGTTAATCAAAAGCCTCTTCTATTCAATCCAAGACCATTTTATCATTTTATTCAATAAATTACCGAAAGGCTATTTTGTGGGCCCTTAATCTTTCATACTGTATGAAAATGAACTAGCAAGTATAATGGAGTTCTCAGTGTTAACACACGCTGATGTAAAAAACTGCATCTGACCTTCCCATACTGAAATTAATTGGCGGTATATATGGAGATGTTGTTACTCAGGAGATTATGTAAGGTTTTATAATTTGAACCGTCTAAAATCAAGATTTTCCTGTTCGGTGTTATACTGGCTCACTTCAGTACCTTCAAAAAGCCTTGGCATCATCTGTAGGTGTATTTAATTCAGGCGATTACATGCGTGAAGTAGTTAATTTTATATTACCTAATAAACTACAGGGGTCAGAAATTAATGAACCGGATGTGTTGTACAAGAAATTAGTTATTACCGTTAAGGGTCATGAGCCAATGGTGTTAAAAAGTTATGAAACTTTTGTCAAACAAGTTTGTGACAATCTATCCATAGCTCTTAAAAGGTAATGTAAGGTTTCTAAAAAAATCTATTAATCAGTGAGACTCGTAACCGACCGACTTTTTTTCGCTTGTCCATGAACAAATCACCGTTTATTTATAAGAAACAGCAACGTCAATACGAGTTTCGTACACACTACCAATACTTCACGGTGAGTGACTTTTTATTATTAGATTGCCATCTAGGTTGATCACATAACAGGATGTACTGCTGATGTATTTCTGGAATATATCCAAAGAAATCTACCCGAGGGTGTAGCTATGGAAGTTGTAAAGGTGAGAAACAAGAATGTATAAACTTCTCACCGTTCTAAGTAGTACAACACAGTGCCTACTGTTGAGATGGATGATGTAGTTCTGAATTACCCATAAAAACGTTTTCATAAAAAAGTTTTGAGCCGTAATTTTATATCACAATGAAGTAGGAATGAACTTCACCTTGGGTACTCCTCAAATGGTGATGTCTACCATTGTGGTGGTTTTTAAATATTATTTGTAAAACAACTGACTACAATTCAGTAGCATCTTTATTCGAAAAAGTCATTTTTACAAACACAGTGCCACACCAAATATAGAAGAGATGTCATCGAGAAACATTTATTAAATGTAGATAAAACGGGAGGCATTCTATAATTTCATAACAACTTGGTGAGGTTGTTTGGACCGCTTTAGTTAGCCCCACCTGAATTTCCCACAGTTCGCTCCTGCTTTTTCCAGTAGGCCCAAACAAAGTGCCAGTTTAGATGCCTAAAGTTCATTTGTTTGAATCCTTAGTGTCCTGATAATTGTAATAACGAAAATCACAATCAAGAATGTGTAACAGTGAGGACACCTTCGGCATCAGCTTGAGCGATAGGGTTTATAACATATTCAAATTACCGAAACAAGGTTTTTGTGACAACCTATAAACAACTTTCCTGAAATGTTTTTGTATCCTCACCGCAGTCAAATACACCCTAATATTTAAGGAGATAAGTTGACTTTAGCATTTTCCTGCGTAAAAGTTTTTAACAGTAACGTAAATGCAGATGTGGCATTTTGCTTCCTGTCATGTTTGCCAGTTTAATCTCAGGATAATTTTCTTAGTCCTAAATTAATCATACTTTCTTTAGACATAAGGAAAAAACAATTCCAGTGAAGGTTGTAGTTGTCTTTTTGGTATATGGACCTATTGTATGCAATTCTTCCCCCATCTTGATCAGTTTTCGTACTTTATTTCTTCTATGCACTTGTCCTCCTTTTTAGTAGATTTCACACACGAGTAAAATGTGACTAAAAATAAGTGAAAATCAACATTTATTAAACTATGGTTGATACTAGTTAAGATCGGTTGTAATGATCCAGATGCATTCACTCTTGTGACAATGTATAAATATATTTCCATTTGTTTTCATTCGGTTTAGTAGGTGTGTTTTGCCGCTGAATGAAAAACAGCTCCGTAGGTTGTATATTTTGTCTATGCAACCGACTCAGTTACTTACTTAATGATTTCATAACTATTGTTTCAACAAACTTCTTTTTTTTTGGTTTATAATTTTAGCATCGTTTGGAACGCCTTCCGGAGCATTTATAAGTCGCTGGGGATTCTCAAAAGTATTTGAATTATAGAATATATGTAAATACGTCCCAAATTTGTGTTAACTTCTGTCAGTGTGGTACCTTTGGCCAGAAACAAAACCTAACCTTATATTCACACAATTCACTAAGCTGTAATAACGTTAACATTTGACGCACACTTAATTCATGGCAATCAAAGTCACATTCGAGACTAGTGGATCTTGTAAGTAGTATAATTCTGACTTTCTCAACATCTCCCGTTAGAAACCTAATTGGGTCTCAAACCCGAGCCATGTTTTTAAAAGTCGAAGTATGAGAGTTACTCAATCGATTCAGCTCACAATCAGTCATAATTAGTTTCCTTAGACCAATCACAGTATTGTTTTTATAAGAAACTTGTTGAGTATCTGAAGTGTACTAGGTAATCTATAAAGACGTATTGCACTATGCGATTGCTCAAATCAAAGTCAATGTAATTAGCGGTGGACCAAACACTACTTCGAGGATTAAAATGAACTAGTTGGGTCAATCTGGGTAAGAGTGTTTACTACTTCACGTTCTATTGTAATCCGTTTTGGTTAATCGAAGCATCCGTTAAATCTTAGCAAAGACTCTACGACGTATAGCAACAAATGAAACTCTCCTTAATCGTGAAATTTGTTCGAAATATGGGACGAAAATACTTTGGGGTTGAACCTCAGAGTTCTAACCGTACAATTACTCATTCCAATGCCCTAAAGTTCACTTCGTTTATTAGATCCCACCAGTGTTTTAAAGATACCAATGGGTCTTTTGTTGAAATTACTTAACCAATCTAAGCTAGATAGTAAAATAGGATCTGAACATGAATGCAGAAAAGGTGAGTTAACGACCCACTGATGGTCAAAATAATCTCGAAATCTCTTCGAGCCAAAATGAACCTATAATTTTGTTAAGACCATACTTGTGTATGAGTTTCGAGTAAAAGTAATTTAAATGCTCCAGGAAATAGGCAACAGTTTCAAGTTTTTCCTAAAGCTTACAAAAGTGCTTTTAGGCCATAAAGTATTACACTGAATGTGTTAGAAAATTGTTGGGGAGTTTTGTGTAGTGAATAGTACGTTATAGATTACGCTCATCACCAAGAGTTTTAAATGTCGTTCACAATATAATGCCTTTATTTGCTGTTGTTTCTTCAAAAAAATTCTGATCTAATATTGTAACTGAGATCTGTACACTATTTATTTTATTTATTTAAATACATAAATATTGGTACAAAGGGGCACCGAATACATATGCGCCGTACAAATCTCATTCGATTTGTGTGAAGGCTACGATACTGCCCAGGTGTCCAAACTGGAACAGGTGGTTTTCTTAGGGGGGGGGGCACACCCGGAGCCTGCGACCTAAAGGTCTGATCAACAAGGCAATGAAGCATCGTGAGGAGATGCAGTCCCATGGTGGCCGGTGACCAATAATTGGTTCATACGCCATTTCTTCCCTCAGGATACGGGAGCCCATGTGCACCATTGGTTTGGAATCAGGGTTTTCCAACTCTCCTAGGTGGACGCACCGTGTCCACCAACCCGGGTAAAGCGTTGGACATTCGCTTTTCGTCCTCTTAATTTCGTGAAGAACACCCCCGCCACGAGAAGGCAGTGAGCACACTATGAATTGTTTGGACGGACAACACAATTGATTTGTAAAAGCATTTTATTTCAAACAAACATCCCGTATTTGTTGGGGGGGAGAGAAAGAAAACTATTTATAATGCCAAAGATTTCTATAAATGGGGATACAATTTACTGAATAAAAAACAACTCATTTACAAGCTGAGTAAACGAATAGATACACAAACATGTGCGTTCATTAGAGTCGCTGGGGAGTGAGGAGACAAAACAGTTTTTCCATTGAAATCAAGAACAAATAAAAGTAGAGATTATTAAACGAAAAAAATTACAACCAAATAAGCGTGGAAAAAGTAAAAATGAATAAAAGGGGGAAAACAGTATTTGTAGATATTTATATGTGTAGAAATCAATTACTTATTATATACGATGAGTAGTAGATGCTAGTGAATTTTGGTTATTGTCGTCGGCGTCCACATCAATATCATCATGAAGATATTGTAGCGCTAGACTGCTCATTTCGTCACAATCTATGCAGAACTAGAGACAGCTAATTTCTTTAAATGTTCCATAAATCCTTGAAGTGATACATCATCCGTTAGTACTGCACTACCGGAATCCTAAAATCACAATTTTTATATAAGAAAACAGTTATGAATGACTTGTAAATACGAAGTTGAAGAAATAGTAGTAAATAGATTTACTATAGCAGAATGTAAGATAGCGAAAATACAATTTCAGCCCATCGATACACTGCTTTTCGTAACAGGAGGTTAAGAGGATTGCTGATTTCCGTAGTTTTGCATTATATACTGACCTGAATAGGGTGATCATTGAAAACTAGGAAGTACTGCGTAGGTGTTAAGCCCTAACATGTGATTTTTCAGCAGTTCGTACCTACTACCCCACCAGGGGTCGAATCTAGGACCTTCAGGTCTAAGCAAAGAACGCCTAACTTTCAGATTCCGATGGTTTATATATGCTTAAGCTGATTCGCACCACTCCTCAACCATTATGATATAAAACCACTTCACAGTATTATTTCTCCTCTGATGCGTTTCATCATGTTCATTTTCCTTTTTAATGGTTTGGTAAACTGAAACGGGGTACGTTTGTGTTAGACTCAAACATTTTTTTCCCGATGTTAAAAGTTAATGACAAAAAGATAACCCTAATTTAATAAATGTGACTGAAAGTTACATGTTTGTCTTCTCTAAATTTTATTAGATAAAAATCTTTATAAACAGATAGATAAATAAGCAAAGATGGATAGTGGCTAGCAGTGGAATTTAATTTGACGCGCGTTTCGTTCTATTTGGGACTCGTCAGCTGGATGTGCCTGCATCTCAGAGTTGATGTTCACTCTGGGACTCGAACCCAGTACCTTTCGCTTCAAACGCCATCGCCTTATCCAACCAGCTACTGAGTCCTGATAGCTACTTGCTTGTGCAATGGGTTGAAGTTTAAGTTCACTTAGTATTACTTGCTTGAATCTGAGATGCAGGTGTTTCCAAATGATGAGTCTCAAATGGGACGAAACACGCGTCAAACTGGATTACACCACGGCTAGCCACTATCTATCTGTGCTTATAAATTTAGGCTATATCGAGGCAATACGCATAGTATGCATATAAGCCAATTAGAGACTGACCAGTTGAAGTCCTAAAAACATCAATGGGAAGATCCAAGCAAACAATACTAAGTAGATAGATAAATACTTTCTTTTCTATAAAACTTGGTGATCATGTAGTTATAATTCATACTTATATTATAAAGCAAACACGGCGACGTAAGTTTTCATCTCAGAGATTCACCTTTCATTTCTAGTAAATGCTTATGATCCAGGAATGAATTATCCGTCAAAAATCTTATTAGAATCAGTCAGAGAATAAAATTTCTAAAAATAACCCTTCCAAGTTTTTGAACTATAACGTCACAAATTCTTTTAGCACATCAGAAAGTGTATTTACAATGGTCTATTGTCAAAGGCATCCACAAATGTATTGTAAGCTATTTTGCATTATTCCCGTTTAAAGAAGGATTACGACTTCGTTGACACAAAGGCAATACGGAAGTAGAAGTCTACTACTTCACATATACCTGTATACGGTCTTCCATTCATTTATCTAAAGATATTCGAATTGAAATCATCGGGAAACATGGAATAATATATTTCACCTGAATGATAAAGTTTGACTTTCCATATGAAGAAATTATTGGACGACAGATTCTTCACACTCTGTTATATACCGATAACAATAGTGAATGGTAACTTGGGGATCCATTTATAGACCAATATTAGGCATATAATTGCTAAATAACTAAATCATTCATATTCATGTCCCTCTTATTATCAGCTTTATTTTGACCCTTGGACTATTATTGTACGATTTATCATTCCTGAGTTATACCCAGTCTATTAGTTACTGCTTCTCCTATTCACAGCCACATTTGGCTAACTCTTGTACAAATGTTATTTCCTATTTTATTGGTACGATGTGGTCTGTCCGTCTGGCATATAAACCGAGTATGCTTGAAATACAATGATTCATATTGCAGAGGCTGTTATTGGTGTTTTGGACTTAACTGGCTGGGCTAGGCAGAAGTAGGATCGATAAGTACTCTAGACTGCTTGTACACTTCTCGTGTGTTACTGTTCCAATCGATAATTCGCTGCTCTCTGATTGGTGGTCTTATCATGCCATACATTAACTGGGCATCCACTCGGCCACAAGATATAACACACTCCTTTACATGAGATATCATGATTTAGTGTATCAAGGATTATGACTAGCAAACATAATCCATGTTTAACTTACCAAATACAAGTTATAATGCAAATTTACAAAAATCTTACAAGTACAAATGATACAAAGTGCAGGAAAACGAATAACGGAGACGGAAAAAGGGGGGTTAAAGCCTTTTTTTATTAAAATAATTATTTTAGAGTGCAAAAGCAATAAAATCCAAGGGTGCAAGCACACAAAACATTTAAATTACTAAACATATGGGAACTGATGAGTCTTCGATCAAGTTCCAGAACAAAACCAATCGCACCATTTCGTTCGCTTACACTACGAAGCAGACTAATGAACAATACATGTTGATATTGGAAGGAATCTATAGCACACCGTTCAGTGTCAAATATGATTCTTAACCAGCAATAAAAGTTGCCTAACCTTTTAATGCTAACTAGAGCAGTTCATGACATAAATATTATTTTGAGGATTGCTACATAATTTAACTTATAAACAAGCCTCCTAAACCTCTAAGTTACAACTGAGATGGACGAACGTTTCGTCCTAGCATGAGACTCATCAGCATTGCGCATCCACTATTCCGTAAAAAAGGGAATCGGATCCAGAACCTTCGGTCTTGCGCGCGAACCCTTAACCTCTAGGCTACTGAGTTGGCGTCCAACGATGTCCATTTCTAACATTGATCGAGCCATGATCTTGTGTAACCTTTTATTCATTAGCTGTGATGAATAACTGTTTCACACGGCGCTGATTGCACACCACTGGTCACGCGTGCACGATCATAGATGCGCACCGTTGAGGAGTTCCACAATAGGACGAAGCGGCCTTCCAGTAGTTTATATCGACTCGTGATTTCAAGTGTGAAAATACTACAAATCCCCAAACTCGAGAAGCTAATTTATCTGAAGGTTTAAATAATGTGTAAAGTGACAACACATACATGATGTTTACTTTATATATTAGTTTAACTGGAGTTCAAAAAGTGGGCCAAGTCAGTGGTTAAGAGGTATTATTTTTGACGAGAGACCTAGGTTTTAGATGTTGTATTCTCAAAGATGTGTTTTTTTATTGAAGCTTTCATTGTCTTTCTAGATAACGTCAGCACATAATCACATATTTTTGAACATTGAGCTAGTAAAATGTTTCCACCATTGCCTAGCAGATGGTTCTGTAAACTTGGATATGAATCAACCCTCCAAATTTTAATCCTGAGCTACAAGTGTTCTCTATCACTTCAAGATTTGATAGTTTTTGGTTGGATTCCAAGTGGGGTGTCAACAGTAGACATATTCTTGACGAAGTACACGAAGATAGAACTAATGTTTAGTTCTATATTCCTCTTTACTAATGTTCGCCAGTTGTTAAAAAAAGTAACCATCAGATAATATGAAGTCTCTAAAAAGCCACTTCAATAAATATTATTATTGGGACTATTTTGCAAATCTATAAGGGTGGGATACAGACTGATTTTATCAGCTAACATGTACAACTTCACTTATCTTGGAAGTCTGATCAGCCATAATGAGTTCGTGTCCGACGAAATCTCAGCATGGATTCAAAAAGCTCGTTTGGCTTTTGCCAACTTACGTCACCTATGGCGAAGACGAGATATCCGTCTATCAATTAAGGGGCGAGTATACTGAGCAGCAGTTCGCTCTGTTCTACTTTACGGCTGCAAAACGTGATCATTAAGAGTAGAAGATACTCGTAAGTTACTAGTATTTGACCACAGACGCCTTAGAAATATTGCTCGCATCTGCTGGGATAACCGGGTAAGTAATAGTGAGGTTAGACGCAGGGTATTAGGGAACGATGGTAAATCAGTTGATGAGGTGATGAATCTTCATCGACTGAGATGGTTGGGCCATGTGTTACGTATGCCTGAACACCGATTACCACGACGCGCTATGATGAATAGTATTGGAGATGGTTGGAAGAAAGTTAGCGGCGGTCAAACAAAAACATGGCATCAGTGCTTGAAGTCACTAACTTCTAGTCTTTCTTCCTGTACTATGTCCTTAAATAAAACCTACCTTTTATATAATACCACCACTAAATTAACTACTTCTATGAATCCGGTGTTCATCTTGTTATGCTAACGAGGTATGGCAACTTGGACCGATGCATAAATGTGCCTAGTCCTACGTTGTAGCTGACTGACTGTACCCCTAGTAAACAGGCTAGTGAATCGACTAAACAAGTATTTAAGTGTGTATCTACATAGAGTATAGTTTCGAATTGATGTATAAAGTGACTGATCATTAAATAGTGATCACTCTCACGTTCATCAAATTGTATTAATGAAGTTACAATGTGATCATTAGTCTAAGTGACTTCACTCGACAGCGTGTCCACACTATGTTTAGATTTTATGTAGTTGAATGAAATTAAGAAGAAACCCTTAACTTAGGTTTTATACTATTTGGAATTTATCAAAAATCGCGTACCTACAATCTTAAGGGAATTGTTGCTTCCAATAGAATTCAAATCTGAATCATTTAGCTTCATAATTTGAAAAGTCTCGATCTCAAGTTTCTTATGTACTACATCAAAACTATCTAGCTCTATAATATTGTGTATACAAATTAGACTAATCAATTAGACTAATGTATGTATTCAGTTATGTAAGCATTTACTATTAAAGGGGAATGGCATTCAGTAATCTTTCCGTTCCCTTTCTGTGAATCAAAGCATTTAAATCAATAATCAGGATACATCAATTTTTGGATGTTTACATATAGTAAGCATAGTAAAAAGCACACAAACACACACACACACACAAACACCCTGACCAACATTTTTTTTATTATCACAAAGAAATACTTACATCTACTTGAGACTAAATAAGTAAAATATACACATAACAAAAGAGTTCCATTTTTTTATTTTGAAAACAAAAAAAAATGTATCTTACAAAGGGAAACTTACACGACGGTGGTGGTGGTGGTATAATAAAACAAAATACTTTGGGAAGGGGTTTTTGTGAAGATTTCAGTATTTATTTTTCATAGTTGAAATCATGAGTCAATTGAAGCTAGACCATCATGGAAAACCTAGAAGCACTGCTTGACGGCTGTTTCGTCCTATTGTGGAACTCCTCAGCAGTGCGAATCCACGATCCCGCACTCGCGAGATTCGAACCCAGGAAATACCAGTCTAGCATCAAAGCACTTAACTGATACTTTGAATCATTTTATGAAAGAATAAACTTTAAGTAATACAATGAGACTATAAGTTATGGATGATATTTGAGCAGCGCTAGACTGAATTTCAAAGTGTTTACCTAATACAACTTGGGTTATAAACGAATGTTTATTTTTATTTATTTAAACACATAAATATTGGTACAAGGTGGCACCAGATACATATGCGCCGCACAAATCTCATTTGATTTGTGTGAGGGCTGTAATACTGAATGGGTGCCCAAACCGAAGCAGGTGGTTTTCTTAGGGGACCACACCCCGAGCCTTTGACCTAAAGGTTTAACCACAGGGCAGTGGAGCAATGCAAGGAGATACAGTCCCATGGTAGCCAGTGACCAATGATTAGTTCATACGCCATTTGTTCCTTCAGGATCCTGGAGCCAGCCCATATGCACCATTGGTTTGGAATCAAGGTTTTCCAACTTCACTAGGTGGACTTTCCGTGTCCACCAACCCGGTTAAAGCGTTGGACATTCGCTCTTCGTCCTCTCAATTTCGTAAACAACAATAGTGCCACGAGAATGTAGTGTGTAGATTTTCCCTGGCAGAGGCTATATACGCATGGCCATGTGAGAGCATTTCAAGAGGGAGAAGCGGACTCTCCCCACTATCGGCCATACCAGGGCATTTGGGGGCCAATGTGAGGAATTAGATTTAAGGTTTTCATCACGAACTGACATCAACTAGAATGCCAAAACACTATTTGACTAAATAGATGAATGAATTTAGTGCCATATTCGAAACCTATTATTTTATATCTGACTGGTTCGTCTAGAAATTATAATCCTACAAGAAAGATTATTGGTCTTCTAATGATTCACCAAACTTTTGTTTTCTTTAATTTAAATAAACATTAACGTAAACCTGACTACAAACATTGGATACTATATAATTAGATTAAGATCTATTTTATTCAATTTCTATAAAAGTAAAAATGATGACTTATCAGTAAGAAGCATTGGAAGTGGATAGGACACACATAGACGAAATCACTCAACTGCGTCACAAAACAAGACCTCACATGGAATCCTCAAGGCTAAATGAGAAGAGGAATACCAAAGAACACATAACGCCGAGAAATGGAAACAGATATGAGAAGAATGAACAACAATTAGATAGAACAGATTGGGTTGGAGAATGCTGGTCGGCGGCCTATGCTTCATTGAACGTAACGGGCGTAAGTAAGTAATTATGTCAATTAATTACATAATCTATTTACGTGTGTTTGTGAAAAGTTTATGACATTTCTCTGTACAATTTACAAAAGAGTCCAATAGGAGATATATATCATGATGGTTGGTAATATTCAGAGAAAAGAATGTACACTATTCAGATATCCATTCCTGGATTGTTATCATCTAACTAGTGATTACTCAATATTCATTGTCAGGTTTGATCAGTCAGTCACAACGTAGAACTTCGTACGTACATACATCAGTTCGGGTTGACATACCACATTAGCATAGAGATACAGTTGTCGATCCAAATCCCATAGTGGTGGAAGTAGTAAGAGTATAACCAGTAATCGGAAAGATTAGGGTTTGAAGATGTTATTGAAGGAGTATAATCCAATGAAATAAATTCGGGTAGAGAAAAAGATAGAGATATGAAGAATTTAGAAGATTAGAATTTGACAGAACACAGAGTGGATGCACCTTCGCCATTGTAAACGATTTTGAGCCATGTCATTCAAGGTCTCTATTCATCGGTTGCTATCATCTTGCGAATCCCAACCAGGTAGTCTACACCTACCGACATGGATGAGTTCACTTGTCAGTGACTTCATGGATTTGTGCCACGTTTCGATCTGGCCGCCCCCAGCATTCTCCCAACTTACTTCTACACCATAAAACATTACACGTTGGGGCAGTCGACGGTTGGGCATACGTAACACATATCCCAGCCATCTCAACTGATGAAGTTTGATATAGAAACAAGGAAACTTTTTGAAATACTTTATGCTAAGAATTCTATATTCTATATACTTGAAATCATGAGTCAATTGAAGTTAGACCACCCGCAGAAAACCTGGAAGCATTGGACTGACGTTTCATCCTATTATGGGACTCCTCAAAATAGAATATTGAATAAAGCCATTAATCATAATTAAACAATAGAACCAATGAAAATTAAGAAGTTAAAATTACCTGACCAAATGAATACATTGTATGATGTGTTAATGATGGATTAACTTTAGATAATAAAAATCTTGCTTGACTACCATCATGTTCTGTTTCAACATAACGTGATACTGGAAAACGTGTTTTCAATAATTCTTGTGCTTCATATCTCGGTTTATCAAGAATTTGTTTAATATGGGCATATTCAGGCATATCCTATGATATATATATATATAAGTATAAATGAAAGGTCAGAGATTAATGTTAATGTATATATACATAAAAATTTCACTTAAAAAGGTAATTGAATTTGAAAGATTGATGACTGAAATACCTTAAAGAATGATCATTACTTTTACAATAGGTTATTGGAAGAAAACACTATGAATGACCAAACATCAGCCCATGAACTCAATAACTGTTGAATTGACCCGTGTATACAGATACAGATCAACTGGTTACGGACTCCACTGTTATAATAACCAGTGGTTGGAAACGATGTGTGACATGGTTCACAATCCGTTACAACGGTGCATATTACCACTGATACTGTTACTATTCCTATTACTCAGTTTGGTGAAGACGGTAATTGAACCTGGAGTTTTCTGACCACCTTAATTAACAATCCACGCATGCTTGGGATATCACTGTCTTCGTCTGAATGCAGAGTGCTGCTTCAGGATTGACTTGCATTAGCTCCCTTATGCATCATAGGGAATGCAACAGCTGAGCATATCGACCGATTCAATTATCTTGGAAGTCTTATCAGTCCTGATGTCAGCACAGGTTAGGGGGGCTCAACTGGCTTATGCTAACCTCCACCGTTTATGGAGTAGGAGACGTTCTGATTGACTGACTTTGTGATTTGGATCAATAATTTCGTTTTGTTATGCTGATATGGCATGGATTTTATTTATTTATTTAATCACATATATATTAGTACAAAGGGCACCACATACATATGCGCAACACTGTATCATTTCATTTATTTGAGTGAGGGCTGTGATACTGCCCGGGTGCCCAAACCGAAGTAGGTGGTTTTCTTAGGGGACCACACCCGGAGCCTTTGACCTGGAGGTCTAACCCACAAGGCAGTGGAGCATCGTAAGGAGATGCAGTCTCATGGTAACCAGTGACCAAGAATTAGTTCATACGCCATTTGTCCCTTCAGGATCATGGAGCCCATTTGCACCATTGATTTGGAATGAGGGTTTTCCAACTTCCCTAGGTGGAATTTCCGTGTCCACCAACCCGGTTAAAGCGTAGGACATTCGCTCTTCGTCCTCTCACATTTGTAAAAAAACACCTCCGCCACGAGAAGCTAGTGAGTAGGACTTCCCTGGCAGGGGCTATATACGTGTGGCCATGTGAGAGCATTTCAAGAGGGAGAACGGACTCTCCCCACTCTCGGCCGTACCAGGGCATTTGGAGGCTACATGACTGCTTGACAATGTTTAAGATTTATGAAGTATAAAAGTAGTCAAGAGTTCAGCTAGCACATTACAGATAAGATGACGATTCATGTTATGGTATGAATCTCTATGTATGAACAAATAAATGATTTATCATAATAGTAAAGATACAATTCTATCTAACCAGATATCCAGCTTTCTTCCATTTAGCAATTGTATCACCTTCATAAATAAGTATTAAGAAAAAACTATCCATTAATAATACACGTTCTGGTTGTATACTACTAGAATCTAATAAAACTGGTTCTTCACTTCCATCTAAATTGAATGATGTCAATGATGGTTGTATCATTAATAATGAATTGGAACAATCTTCTTTATTTAAAACATGACTGGAAATTTTTTAAAAAAAATAGCAAAATTTTAATTGATTTCATAAATAGGTATTAAAATAAGAGTCATATAGAATATTGATTAAAACAAACAAACACCCGAATAAACTTGATTTCTTCCTCTGTTTCGTCGTAGTTTCCAGGAAAAATCTCAAAGATTAGTTCATATGTACATTCATTGCTCGACCGTTGCTGCTACCTTGACGTGGTGGTCGGGCTTGCCTATTGTGATGAACCAAACGAGCTATACTGACTGGAACAATCGTTCCTCAAGGTCCTACCATGCCAGACAGGTCGGTTGAAAAGCGGTGAGACTAAAAGCAGCAAACCAAAGGTCCGAAGGCGAAGTCGTACTGATGACTGTACAGAGGTGTGACAACAGTGAGGTGTTTCCTTCACACAACCAGCATAACAGAGATGCTGCCTTCCCACAAGGTGCGGTGGGGTTAAAAAAGATCAACCCTAAAAGTGCACACCTCGCCTTACCCCACGAATATCCACCTCCAGTGATAAGGTCCCAACAAGTACGGAGCTAACACAAAAACGTCGTGTGTGACCAACCACAAGCAATTGTCCCTTGGGCACTGCGGTCACGCTCTCAGGTCATTAAGACCACTTGTAACCCAATTTCCTTTCCAGGTACCTCTAGAAGAACCCTTCCAAAGTGTGAGCAACCTGGAAGTGATAACTGCTCTTATACCTCTAACAGCACTCAAGACCACTGACTGACTCGTCATATTCGTTACCAAACATTTCTAAACAGATTGAAGTTTGTAATATTGATTGGGACTAGCTGAATTATAATATAGAAATGGTGGAGAAGATTTGTAGTTCAAGTGGATAATTTTGATGGAGTTTTGTTCTCTGAGTTGGATGGTTTAGTCGTGGAGCTTCCATCGTTATTCTGAACGATATCATCATCACAAACTTCAAGTATATATTCACTTAGTATTGTTTGTTTGAATCTTCTCATTGATGTTTAAGACTGCACCAAGCGAGTGACTATCACGACTCAGTAGCTGAGTGGATAAAGCGATGACGTTTGAAGCGAACGATACTGGGTTCGAGTCCCAGAGTGAACATCAACTCTAAGATGCAAGGTATGTCCAGCTAACGAGTCCCAAATAGGACGAAACGCGCGTCAAACTGGATTCCACTACTAGTCACTATCCATCTTCAGGTATATATATATATATATATATATATATCCCAAATTAAACATTATCGCTTACAAAACTCCGCCTACAAATTGCTTAATTTTTCGGATTACATTACATCAGTAAACCAACTACTTTTTAAGGAATTTTCTTAGAATGAAAGTTACCAATTTGCTACTATCCTTTTCTCTACTAATTACCGTACATCTGCAAAAGTATAGAGTTAATGACTACAACAGTTTTTGGATTCCTTCCCTAAAAAAAATAGACAAGAACACTGACTTACCGATAATAAGCTGTTTCATCTGGACTATTATTAAAAACTTGTAAAAATTGTGAACGCCGCATATGAAACATAAATTGAGGATAGAATGAAAATTCACCAGGCAATCGAAATGATGTTGGATCATCTTTACGATAATCTCCAAATTTATGACATAATTTAATAAGTTGCCTATCCAACCATCTGTAATGTAAGAAATAAGAATAGAAGAAATATGGATGATTTTATAAATAGGAATAAGTATCGATGGTATATAATTGTAAACACTATGATCAACGGTAGTAAAGTGACGAAACGAACTGTTGTACAGTATACTTGTTTTTAAAAAGATATATCAAAAATATACTGTATGTAAAAGTTGATATGATACATCCCACTCCTGACACTAGACTTAGCCCCCAAATGCCCTGATACGGCTGAGAGTAGGGAGAGTCTGTTTTCCCTCCCGAAATGATCTCACATGGCCACGTGACAGGGAAGTCCTACTCACTGCCTTCTCACACCAAGGGTGTTGTTCACGGAGGTGGGAGGACGAAAAGCAAATGTCCGGTGCTTTAACCGGGTTGGTGGACACGGCGAGTTCACCTAGGGGAGTTGAAAAACCCTGATTCCAAACCAATGGTGCACATGAGCTGGCTCCAGCATCCCGAAGGAACAAATGGAGTACGAACTAATCGTTAGTCACCGTCTACCATGGGACTGTATCACCTTAAGGTGCTCCACTGCCTTGTGGATTAGACCTTTACGTCAAGGACTCCGGGTGTGGACCCTAAGAAAACCACCTGTTCCAGTTTGGGCACCCAGGCAGTATCGTAGCCTACCCTTAAATCAAGTGACTTGTGTGATGCATATGTATTTGGTGCCCCTTTGTACCAATATGTTTGAACAGATTACGAGACCACCTAAAATTTTCAAAATAAAATTACAAAAGTAAGACTTTAATCAAGTGAGTTCTGGTGATCTAGTATCCCCAACAACTCAGTACACTAATTCTTGAGTAAAATTTCATAATTTTAAATAGATCAGAAGGGGTTTTGTGGAGAATTTAGTATTTTCATAGTTGAAAGCGTGAGTCAATTGAAGCTAGACCACCATGGAAAACCTGGATGCACTGGACGGTCGTTTCGTCCTATTCCGGGACTTCTCAGCAGTGCGCATCCACGATCCCGCAGTCGCGAGCGAGATTCGAACCCAGGACCTACCAGTCTTGCGCCAGTGCACTTGACCGATAGACCACTGAGCCGGCCGGCATCCAACAATGTTAATGTCTAACTTCAACCAATCCACGATTTTGAGCAACCGTTCACTAATTGTCTTCAGTGAGTTGACATCTCTAAAACAGACTTGGTTGAACTCCACTGGTCACTGCTTCCCACTAGAACTAAAGGAGATATCTCTTTTAAATACTCAAGATGCTTGAGACTTTCTCGACTTTGTCTTTACTTCTTCATTTAAGTCCTTGAATTTTCTTGTACAAAGAACACAGTAAGGCGAGCTCATGACTTTTTGGTGGAATTCTTACATACGCTCAGAGCTTAAACAAGTTATATAAACAGTAGCTCCAGAATAATTCAGTAAAAGAAGTAAAAAAAACACCAATTTTGGAAACTGATTTAGCTTCATTTTTTGTAGGTGAGAGACATGGGTTGTCAGCTCCAACATAACGCGTCTGAATAGTACTATTAGAGTTTTTTCAAAAGTATATGGGGATTTCAAAGCCTAGCTAAGGTTTTCAGTAAATAACGGAAACATCCTCCAATCTAGGGATTTCAACTAATCATTTGGCTGAATTTACGATGATAGATTGTACAATAATTGATGAATGAATGGAACATTACTGAAGTACCATACTATCAAAGGAAACACTGGTTAAGCGAATAAAATAACCTAAACATTATGAACATATTAATTAATTTACCGTAATACATCAACGCTATCTGTTGTTTCAGCTTTAAACATGGCCATTCGTGCAATCAATACAGTAGCCGCTTCTTGATCAAATCCACATATCATATGTGGTAATTGTGTAGTTGAATCAATCCAATTACGACATACTGTCGTGACTCGTAGTTTACGCTGGCCATTAGCACGTTGATATTGTGTAACAAATTGTACATAACCTCTACCATTACTACCTGGAGGCATTTGTACTCCTCCACCACTACTAGCTGAAGTAGCTACTTCAAAATAAATAGCTAATGTAGTTGATGGAGTGAAACCGTTTAATCGCCAAACAGAAGTACGACCAATTCCAACTTCCTGTTCACCAGTATTAGGCGTCTTAACGTTAGCCGAAAAACATGGTCCGATACAACCAGATACCTTCAGTTCTTTCGATGTCTAAATATGCAGAAATATGGGTTTAAAAGAATAAGAAAGACGATACAACAAATTTGCTAATAACAGTAGATAAACTTTTGATTTGTACTAAGAAGTAAAACATCAACAGTTATTTATTTCCTGGAGAAGAATCAAAAAGGTAAGTGATTAGAGTATCCAACTTCCAACTTGTATAGTACACTGAAGTGGTTCGCCGAACCACAATACTTTAGTAAGATGAATAACAAACGCATTAACTAGTTTCTAGTCAACGTTTTAAATGATAAAAGCTCATTCAAATAGGTCAGTTAGTCAGTCAGCTACAACGTAGGACCAGCCGCATTTATGCATCGGTCCAAGTTGCCATACCTTGTTAGCACAACAAGATGAACACCGGATTCATAGAAATAGTTAATTTAGTGGTGGTAGTATATAAAAGATAGGTTGTATATAGGAAGGAAGAACGTTATGAAGCAATTTTGATCTCAAGGTTTAAGGGAAGATAAAGAGTGCATACACCTAGGCCATTGTGATCGATTCTGAGCCATGTCACCTAGAGTCTCCAACCATTGGTTACGATAGTCATGCGAACCCCAACCAAATAGTCTGCATCTACCAATATGGCTCAGACTAGAAGCTAGTGACTTCAAGCACTGATGCCACGTTTTGGTTTGGCTGCCCCTAACTCTTTTCCAACTATCTCCTACACTAGTCAGTATAGCGCGTCGTGGTAATCGGTGTTCAGGCATACGTAACACGTGGCCCAACCATCTCAGATTCATGACCTCATCAACTGATTTACCATCATTCCCTAATACCCTGTGTCTAACCTCACTATTACTTACCCGGTGATCCCAGAAGATGCGAGCAATATTTCTAAGGCATATGTGGTCAAATACTCTAACAGCACTCAAGACCACTTCAAATACGTTATATTAATGGCTAGCAAGTTCATAGTTTCGCATCATTTATTATCATGGATATCACAATACTTTTTGTCAACATAACCCAACTCTGTAGTAAATATCATTCGTCAAAGGAGATCATGTTGGTTGCATAATACATAACAAGATAGTTGTCAGATAATGACCAAACTGTAATTCACGAAATTTACTTTGAGCTTACGTTGGAAAGGGAAACTAGGAGGTCATTATATCTCTCTGTTAATCAAATACCAGGTGATTTGTTCTGAAAAAACTGTAGCTTCAACCATCAATGGAAGTTTTCTGGACTATTTAGATTCAGCATCAAGAGGATAATGTAGAGGTATATTTCCAACTGATAAAAATAAACATGACAAAGTTGAAGTTGGTGTTATGAATAGTTTATATGGTGAGTTGACTGTAAATAACTAAAGTAAACCAAGAGGTGCTGGTTAACTGTTTCGTCCTAGTATAAAACTACTAATCAGAGTTATGCATTCATTACCCATTGGGGATAAGATGTCAAGACCTTGACCTTTTTACACTACCAGGTTAGTATTCAATGGTCCACACTTCTAGCTTTGATCAAGCTATTATATTATCTATCGGAAAATCAAGTCGTTTCAATGCATTGCATGTTATATAAACTTGATAATTATTGGATGAAGAACAAAATTGATTAACATAGTTTTAAGATGTACCAATGGAGACTTCAATATTCTTTTAAACTTTGGCCATTGAGTAATAAATCAAATAGGTTGGTTAAAAATTGCCTTTGAATAGACAATTTCAAGAGGGATAAACTCCGCCTGTAGCTCTTCTAGAGTTACTGCCGGTCCCAAGTCCGGGTAAAGGAGGAGGATTGGGCATGGGGGTTAGCGACCCCATCTCATAGAAAAACTAACTCGCTAGAAAAACGCCAACCAGATTAACTAATAATAGTGACTTGACAACACTTACCTTCACTTCCATTTGACCAGCTAATCCCATTAAAAATGAACCAGAAGCATCTTTATTAAAAACACGACGATAGGTTTGTTGAAATAAATTTGATGCAAAACTATCACCCATAATCATATGACCACCAGTATAATTAGTTAAATAACGTAATTCATGTAAACCAGTTTGATCTAATGAACAACTGAATATATCGACAACATGAAGATTTTGTGCAGCACGATTAGCTAATCCTTCATAGTGCTATGATGAAACAATGTAAAAGAGTTAAACTTTAAAAAAAAATTTAATATGATGGTTAACACATAAATATTGGTACAAGGAAGCACCAGATAAATATGCGCCTCACAAATCTCATTTGATTTGTGTGAGGGCTGTGATAATGCCAAGGTGCCCAAACTGAAGCAGGTGGTTTTCTTAGGAGGCCACACCCCGAGCCTTCGACCTAAAGGTCTGATCCACAAGGCAGTGGAGTATCGTGAGGAGATGAAGTCTCATGGTAGACAATGACCAACGATTGGTTCACACGCCATTCGTTCCCTCAGGATACGGGAGCCCATGTGCACAATTGGTTTGGAATCAGGGTTTTCCAACTCCCCTAGGTGGACTTTCCGTGTTCATCAACCCGGTTAAAGCGCCGGACATTCGCTTTTCGTCCTCTCACTTTCGTGAACGACACCCCCTCCACGAGAAGGCAGTGAGTAGGACTTCCCTGACAGAGGTCATATACACGTGGTCGTGTGAGAGCATTTCGAGAGGGAGAGCGAACTCTCCCCACTCTTAGCCGTACAAGGCCATTTGAAGGACATACGAATAGTTTTGAACGTATAGGACTATGTTAGACCGAAAGAAAAAAATGAACAGTTATGAAATATTAGATGAAAAAAACATACTTTCATTGCTCTTCGCATATATTTACAATTATCTTTTTCCATATCATGATGTGAACGTATAATATTTTTTAAATCATCATCAACTACCATACCAGGACCTTGAGTACATGGACCACCAAGAAATAGCATAACTCTAGCTCCAGTATTAGGATAAGCAGCTTCTAATAAACCAACTGCAATACTTAATGCTGTACCAACTGAACGTAAAGGACGTTTACCTTGAGGTACAGGCCAAGGATCTGGTTGTAATTCAGTAAGTAAATCAGTGATTAAAGCATCACACCGTTCCATTGGTTGAATAAATCTATCCACATAAAGAAAACAGACTAACATCAGAAAGTTAAAAAAATGATAATTTACGCAATTATTTTCAAAATAATTGAAAGCAGAAGTACAACATTATGGTCAATTCATTTGTATTGCTTGTTTGAGTAATGAAGGTATATCCAGCTAACAAGTTTCAAATAGGAAGGAACGCGAGAACTGGATTCGACTGCTGGCCGCCGTCTATCTCTGCTTACAGCACCTGTAACTTTGATGCAATAACGAGACAAACTGAACAGGATGCACATATGCCAGTAAGAGACTGATTAATTGCAGGTTTAAACACCGATAGGAAGATATAAAGAACCAAAAATGAATTAAACTTCACCCCATTGCACAGGCTAATCATTATCTGGATTCAAAAGCACAAACGTTTTGTAGAAGTAAGCTATGAGAATTTTTCCAGAAGAAAACAACAGCTTATCCTGTCGATCTTGTATTTGATTAGGTGTTATTCAAAACATGTTATTATTGCCTGTACGATTATTTTGGTTGTGAATGCTCCGATTACTTGGTAGAAAACAATTATCTCTATATGTTTATTGATTGCTGACTGATATGAGTGCTGGAAAAAGACAACTCCTCACATACCTATAAAAACACTCGATATCACTTTGTTCGTGACCTGATTGACAAGCTTCTAGAAATTCTCTGGTATTTTTCATGTTGGGCCTTCTGCCTAAGACCTAAAATTCTTGATGGGGTTTCGTTTTCTGAGTTGTTTGGCTTAAACCCTTATTGTCCTGTTTACTTCTATCTGAAGCTTGTGATGATGTTGCTCAGAAGAATAATAAAAGCTTCACAATTAAACCAACCTGTTCAGAAGATGAAAGACCAAACTCATGCACTGGAGCTACAAATCTCTACTATTTCAAAGTTTTCCCAGTCGAATGTGTCTGCAGTTGCATACATCTGTTTATATAAGTGAAGATATTTTACAGCGTTGGATAGCTGATCGATCTTTATGTAAACCATGTTCGAAGAAGATGGCCACTTTGTCCAATGTAATGTTTTTGGTAGTTGATTATGTTCGGTTTGTCTTTTTTTTTGTCATTTTATCTTTCAGTATGCATAAATTTAATTTCAGTTATTTTGCTAGTCTGTAAACGTAGCCCGTAGTCATGATTTGTTAAATCTTGGTTCAAGAAATTCACCTATAACTATTTGGTATCATGGACAAGAGCCCAGTTCTAACTACTGATGTCAACAAGTAAGCAGAGTTATTAGCACCCATAATAATAATAAGCAAAGATCGATAATGGCTAGCAGTGGAATCCAGGATGCACGCTTCGTCCTATTTAGGACTCGTCAGCTAGATGTACCTGCATCTCAGAGTTGATGTCCATGAGAGACTGATCAATTGCAGTCCTAAACATCAATGAGATGCAGGTACATCCAGCTGACGAGTCCCAAATAGGATGAAACGCGCGTCCTGGATTCCACTTCTAGCCACTATCCATCTTTGCTTATCATGCTTGTGAATCAAGGCTATATCGAGGCAATACGCACATTATGCACATATGCCAATTAGAGACTGACCAATTGCAGTCCTAACAAATCGATGGGAAGATTCAAACAAACAATACTAAGTGAATTTTCAGAATGACTGTTCAAATTATTATTACTAATATTTTCATTGTATAACTAGTAAATAACTGTATGGTTGAATATCTATGTTCCCCTTCTTGTAAACGTTTAGTAAACCTATTAACTGTCGCTATATGTTTTACTATTCTATGATTATTGCTAAATAATTATGTATTGTTTGTTTTATACTCTAACATTTACTACATGATTTCTTATTTGATGTGCTATGTCGTCAGTTATTTCAAGTATAATATTGTATGTGTTATGAATCATGATTTGGCCAGACACTATCAGAAACAAGTTACTGTGGGAGAAAACAAACCACATTCCAGCGGAGGAAGAAATCAGGAAGAAGAGCTGGAAGTGGATAGGGCACATTTTGAAGAAATCACCCAATTGCGCCACAAGACAAGCTGTCACATGGAATCCTGAAGGCCAACGAACACATTACGCCGAGAAATAGAGACAGACATGAGAAGAATTAACAAAAACTGAATACAACTAGAAAGGAAGTCCCAGGACAGAGTGGGTTGGAGAATGTTGGTCGGCGGCCTATGCTCCATTGGGAGTAACAAACGTAAGTAAGTATGAGTCATAATTGTAGTGAGTATAGTAGAGAAGAAACCTTCTTATATCCGTTTTCTAATTAGCTACTGGGTTAGAAGGAGCTCGAGGACCAATAAGCGTTAAGATCTCAGTTGTAGTTCATCGGCTGAGGTGTCAATTCGTGAAATTGGCCACCGATACTACCTACTACATAAGTGAATCGATCGATAATTGGAGTTGTAATATAGCACTTGGTATGAACTGGTGGTCTAAAGCCACAACAGAATGTCTTAAGATATAACAGAATGGTGATCACAAGTCACAACATTGATTACTCGTGATTATTGGCTTCGCGTATTATGAGGAATATATCAGTATCCTGGTAGGAAATATGTGGTAAACTCCCCAAAACTTTTATGTACTCGTATAACTAAACACTGAAAAAATTATGATATTATAAATGAACAGTTAAAGAAATAATAAACAACCTATTGTATGGCAATTGAGCCATTTGTGGTTGTTGAAATTGCTTTTCAGCACTGTAGACACCTTTGGGCGCACCTGGAGGAGAATTTGCATTGAATACAGAAGCAGGTTGATTAGCATTTGTAACTGAACTACGACCAACACTTAACATAACCTAGATGAGAAATAGATTATTTTTTGGAAATGTACACATTATGTATCTGTATATATATATATATATATATATATATATATAAAACTTTCTAACAAGAAACATTCATTTGTACATATGTTATTAATCTAACACACTTAAAAATTAGAAGGTTAAGTTCCAGCTTTATTAAAACAAGCTGCTACCTTGACGTGGTGGTCGGGCTTGCCTATCGTGATAAACCAATAGAGTTATACTGGCTGGAACAATCGTTCCTCAAAGTCCTACCATGTCGGGCAGGTCGGTTGAAAAGCTGTAAGACTAAAAGCAGCAAACCAAAGGTCCGAAGGCGAAGTCGTACTGATGACTGTACAGAGGTGTGACAGCAGTAAGATGTTTCCTTAACACAACCAGCATAACAGCGATGCTGCCTTCCCACAAGGAGGGGTGGGGTTAGAAAAGGTCAACCCTAAAAATGCACACGTCTCCTTACCCCACGGATATCCGTCTCCGGCGGTAAGGTCCCAGCAAGTACGGAGCTAACACAAAAACTACCCACAAAAAAGTCGTGTGTGATTGACCACAAGCAGTTGTCCCTTGGGCACTGCGGTCACGCTCTCAGGTCATTAAGACCACTTCTAACCCGATTTCCTTTTCAGGTACCTCTAGAAGAACCCTTCCACGGTGTGGGCAACCGGGAAGTGATAACTGCTCTTATACCTCTAACAGCACTCAAGACCACTGTATTCATTTCTTCGTCAAAATTAATTACTCCTACTTTTCTTAGTGGCAGTTACAGATTACAGATACGAAGTCTTATTAAAACTAGTTAAATCAACTTTTTTCTTATATTTCAGTTGGATATTGGCTTCCAAGATAATTCATGACGCGTTTTTCATCCGATTTAGACCGTGTCAACTGGATGTACTGAATATGGGCCACGTGTTACGCATGCCTAAACACTGATTACCACGACGCGCTATGCTGACTAGTATTGAGGATGGTTGGAAGAAAGTTAGGAGCAGCCAAACCAAAACGTGGCATCAGTGCTTGAAGTCACTAACTTTTAGTCTGAGCCATGTTGGTAGATGCAGACTATTTGGTTGGGGTCCGCGCGACCATCGTAATCAATGGTTGGAGACTCTAGGTGACATGGCTCAGAATCGATAACAATGGAGTAGGTGTATACACTCTTTATCTCCCCTTAAACCTTGAGATCAAAATTGCTTCATAACGTTCTTCCTTCCTTATATGCAACCTATCTTTTATATACCACCACCACTAAATTAACTATTTCTATGAATCCGGTGTTCATCTTGTTGTGCTAACGAGGTATGGCGAATTGGACCGATGCATATATGTGCCTAGTCCTACGTTGTAGCTGACTGACTGACTGACTGAATATTATAATAGGAAGAAGTATTGGAAAAGCTAAACTTTTAAAACTGTATTACCCAAAGTAAATGTTTACATTTTTAGTTCTTGATTAGTACATACTTAAATTATAGTAATTTCCTGTTTGTAAGCTCGTATATGATGTATAAACCGTTATTGAGTGTTGTACCTTTCCTAATTTACTGTTAATTAATTACAAATTCACTACTCAATTCCTCTGCTTATGGCGTAGTTATGCCGTTATTGTAATCTCCTAACTCTCTTGACGTGTGGACAATATTTTACTCTATATTATTGAACGAGTTATGAGTCATGAATGTACTGAGTATAACAGAAGCTGGTCGCTGGCTAGGGGCGGGGGCTAAAGAAAGACTTAAGTATAGCGGAGCAATAAGAGCTTAAATTGTGTCGGCTTAAGGTTAACTGAGCAGGTTAGAGTTATAACTGAACAAGTCAATGTTACAGGGTACAGGAGAAATAGTAGATGTGGAATATGATCTGGACAAAAATATACATTAATCCATTATTCTAGAGTTTTTTAATTCTTTCGTTTAGTTGAGTGATAAGATGGAGTGTTCTTGTGTGATGTTAGAGGTGTTAAGGCGGTTTTCACCTTTTGGTTTTTCACACGATGGAAAGATATTTCTTCCAGAAGGACTTGTAAACGAAACTGGATGTGTGAACTTCAATACCTGAGAGCATGAACCCAGATCACAAGGGATAACTACTTGAGGTCAGTAACATATAGCACTTTTACAAACAGTTCTAGATGAGGTAGTTCTATTATCCGAACGGCCTTGCCGCTGGCGACAGATTCTAGGGTGAAGATGAAGTGTGCTAATTTTGAGGAAAATACCACATGGTCATCACATTCGTGCACGGTCTGAAGTACGGCTTCGCCCTCGGACCACGGGTTAGCTGCTTTAAGCACTATCCCTCTCTGGTATATTAGAAACTAAAGGAAAAACTGTTCCAACCAATATAGCTCGATTAGATTATAACTATATCTAACCATGACGTATCACGTCAAGTTACCAACTACAATGAGGAAGTTGTGAGCATAAAAGTTTTTAAAAAATGAAAATGTAAGAAAAGACTAACATATTCGTACCTGAATTTGATTCCCTGTATAATCTTTTGTCCCTTTAAATACCCATGATTTAGAAATAGGTCCTGCTTCCAATTCATGAACATGTACCATTTTTCCAAAAGTGATTAAACCAACAAAAGCATGTGGTGGTAGGAAACTCAATGATAACTGAATAGACTCCTATGAGAAGAAAGTGAATTTGATAAAACTTTTAATCAATATTTAAAGCATGTCTGGTAAATATGAGCTAACAGGTTACAAAGCTACAAATTACTTTAAGGTGACGTTTACTTAACGGAAAATGAAGAATACTTTCCAACAATGGAACCCGTAACACATATAGAGGTCTACTTGTTACTTATTAACTTAAAAAACCTGCATTCTAGTGTTGATGTACACATATGGAGACTCGAACCCAGTACCTGTCATACTTCAAATGATACCAGGTTTGATACTAGGGTACCAAGTCACGACCATCACCAATTTATTTTATGGGTACAATCTTTACTATAATTTTACAATGACTTGGATTTCCGCTTTATTGATAGTCGGAAACGTTTTATCAGTCCATGATGATAAATAAGCTATTTGAAAGAATGTCTCAATATACTTCCCACATTTGTAAGTTTACGATAAGTATTTATATGTATTTACATGCAATGTAAAAACAGCTATTGAGCTCCGGTAGTTGTGCCGTGCCTCGATGTAGCACTCTTTTCCATAAGAGCCTACTAGGTTTCACCATGTTATTGTTACTACTTTTAGTTATTTGCCAGTGTAAGAGTAGTTTGAAAAAAAAGTTAAAAGTGGAAAAACCACGATATAGCACCAATTTGTGAAGTCAATGACTGTTGGATTGATCCGTGTATGCAGACCTAAACTATCTGGTTGTGATCTGCACGATTATCATAAACAGTGGTTGGAGATGATGTATGACATGGTTCAGAATCCGTTATAATGGTGCATATGTTTTCACTCTTCGCCTTCTTCTAGGTATTCAATTTGAAAATAATCTTATACTTTCCTATTCCACGAAATTATTCCCCCCTTTTAGAAGTATACTATCTATGTTTAATCTTTCCTATTACCGTTGATACTGTTACTAATGCTACTACTCTGATTTGCTTAGATAATTTCACCTTACTATGGTAACTTGAAATGCTGTACATGTGTACCAGATTCAACGTTGCTCATGACTAAATGAGATATGGAAAACATAGAGAAACGGTGAAACAGTAGCAAGTTGGAGGGAGGGTAAGATATACTTTGTGATGATGAAAGAATTGCCAATATTTACAACTAACTTACTTTAAGATGAGTAAATTCTGGTTCTTCAATACATGTATCAATAACAAACATAAAAATGGGAGGAACAAGTTGAACTTTCTAAAAAAATAGAATACAAATATAAATGTATACATGTCATTATACAAACAACAATTAATTTAAAATTATTTAATAATCAAAGACTGGAGGGCGGTCTATGCTCCTCCACGAGGGGTAACAGGCGTAAGTAAGTAAGTAAGTAAATAAGTAAGTAAGTAATCAAAGAGTATATCTATTTATTCTATAATGCAAAGTTGATTTTTAAAAATGGTACGCAATGTTATTAAGATGTGGTATCGCGATTTAGGTCAAAGCACAACTGTGCCAGGTTCTACATTATCTATAACTATTATCATTGACTGTTTAGATGTTGAATGTTTGAAGAATCAAAACAGTTCACCTGTGAAAAAAAAGAACAATAAAAGAAACCTGCCAGTTACATGAACAACTTAATGCCTGCCACATATGTATATCAATTTCATTTGTCACACCAGTATTCGGAGAGAGTTAATGACAACGCATGAAATCAGTTACGGTTTTATAAGGGTATTAATCTCCCTCCAAATTCTGACTTGAATAACATTTTTAAATCTTAATTATTTGGTCATGCTTTTTTTCTTTCTAAATGCCCCCCAAATGCCCTGGCACGACCGAAATTGTGGAAAGTTAGCTCTCCCAATCGAAAGGCTCAGACATAGCCACGTGCATACGACCACTGACACAAAAGTCCCACTCACTGTCTTCTCACGGCATTACTGTTGTTTAAGAAATTGAGAGGACGAAAAGCAAATGTCCAGCGCTTTAACCGGGTCAGTGAACATGGAAGGTTCATCTAGGGGAGTTGGAAAACCTTCATTCCAAACCAATGGTGCACATGGGCTGGCTCCATGATTCTGAAGGAACAAATTGCGTATGAATTAATTGTTGTTCATTGGCTACCATGGGACTGCATCTCCTAATGTTGCTCCATTGCCTTGTGGATCAGACATTTAGATCAAAGGCTCCAGGTGTGGTCCCTTAAAAAACCACCTACTTCGGTCTGGGCACTCTGGCAGTATTCCAGCCCTCACACAAATCGAATGATTTATGTAGCGAATATCTACTTGATTCGTCCTTGTACCAATGTTCATGTGTTTCAATAAATAAATAAAATACTTTCAAATTGTATCTCCCACTGTAACTGAAATTAAATCCTCTTTTCATCTTATCGATTTCCCATCTAGCTGTGATGATTTGGAGTTTATGGCAACTTAGATCGATAAACACTAAAACTGGGTCCTACTTTGATGATAACTGATTGGCCACAGTGGTACAGCCAGGAGAAATTAACAGGACAGAAACTAAGGCAGGTAAAGTGAACGACCAATAATAATAATAATCATAATTCTGGTAGAAAAGTGTAACTTTTCTTTTTTTTTTCTTAAACAGTGTAAACCAACTAACAAGTAAATCTTCACTATATTCATACTTAGATGAAATTCTCCAGCGTACAGTATCTCTTTTATTTATTGATTGCATGATTTTCGAAATTCCAATGGGAGTAGGTATGGTTGCACAATCTCACGACTCTTCAAATTTTCATAGATGACATTCTGGAAGTATCACTGAACAAAGTATGTGATAGCGATGTAGATCTGTTATCTAGATAAAAATCCAATTTCAAGTATGGATATGGTATTGTCCTACTGTGAGATGATACATAAAGCTACCCCAATCATATTTAATCCGTCCATCATCGCAGTCAGAATGAGGTATGTTAATATGCGTCAATTATAGTAGAGTTCGATGCTGATCTTAAAAAACTTCGATGGAATAACGCACAGATGACAGCAGTTATATGTTATACTTATGAAACTTGGACTCTCTGAGTTAAGAACATTGAATGATTCTCGATGTTTAAAAATCGTCATCAAGAAATTGATTAAATCCGGTGGCAATTGTTATGTAAGCGATGCGCGACTAAAGTTATGTGAGTTTGCAAGTAGTAGAAATGTAATATTGAACTTCGGCAAGTTATTCACAATAAATAAATATGAAAGCTAGATGGTACACAAAATCAAAGATAACTACGGAAAAATTCAACATGTATTCTTACATAATACACTTGGATAAATTATAAAAAAAGACTTACTGGGATGGTATATTCAAGTGTAGTAAACTGAGCCATCAATTCTGCGGGTAATTTTTGTTCAGTCATTCCTGCATATTGAGGTGGAAAACTATTTCGTGTATTACATAAACAACATGTCCATGTACGAGTTCTAATATCAAACTATAAATAGACGAAGATGATTAAAAAGAAAGAACCAATATCGTCATTGGATCAAAAAATATAATCTAATTCTATCGGAAAAAGTATACTGTGTAAATGGATGCTAAATAACAAGGTGAGACAAAAATACATAAGAATATGGTGACCAATCGGTTAAACCCATTGAATCTCAACATTTGGTCAGAAATTTTTGGCTTCAATTTATCTGTTTCGATTTCAGTCAATTAGGGAGTAACACAACACTTTATACAGAATGTGTAGCCAATAGAAGATGAGTATCCATGCCTCTGCAATGCTACTTAATTGGATTAAAGTTAAATATCCTTCAATGATCGTTCAAATGTATATATTGACTTGTACACCTTATAACCCATAAAATAACACGTAGCAACGAGTTAGATTTGTTAGTTATATGAATCCAAACGGTCAGTTAACCCCATGTTTGAACTGAATATTTTCAAAATTCATTAGTAAAATGTATCATCAACTAAGATGAAAATATAACAATTTTGCAATGATTGAAACCAGTGTAGTTAAACTCTGGGCAAATTGAGTGTAATAAGATAATCCTTTGGATGGAACTAGCTTGTAAAACGACTTCGTTCAACATAATTACGTAAATAGGTACATTCAAGTGACTTATGGTTAATAAAATATAAATAGTATGGTTTTGCCTAAAACTTGTATTCTAACACGTAGAGTTGAAATTGAAGTGTAAGCCTCGGAAAATAGTGGTGATTAGTTTTCTTAGAAAGACAACTTCTATAAGTGCGATTCATTAACCATGCACAGATATCCATATACTATGCTACGAAATACATTTACATTATGTATGGAATATACATGCTCCTTGGCTACTTAAACGGAAGTAGATGAGGTAGGGTTCGAATCTATGATCAAATAGTTATTAACCACTAGCGAATAACAGCTTGGCCACTGGTAAAAATATGAAAAATGTGGGGATTCTTCATCAATCTAAAGGAACTTACCGGACAATAGGGGTTAAGAATACCACGACATCGACTGCAGAACACTGGATCATAATTAATTGGTGGGAAATCATAACGTTCTTTGAACAGAGTATACAAACATCCAATAGGCACAACACACTGAGCAGATTCTAGCCGAGAAATAGGCCAAGCATTCCAGGAAAAGCGTATTCCATCATTTATTTCAGATTGCTGTATAAATTCAGCCATTGTCGCCATTTTGAAGGACTACCAAATGATTGGAAATAAGTTATTCAAGCTAGATAGAATGAGGAAATTGCAGATTTTGTGACAGAAATAATTGGCAGTTCCAAATAATAACCAACAAGAAATAAATAAATAAATGGAGTTATAAGGAGGGAATATACAAAAGTAGGTGACTTGTTATTTGATATGGTTGATTATGTTATGCCCCGATAAGGATAATGAATGGTAACTTTGGGACCTACTTATGAACCAATACTATGCATATATTCCTTATTGCATAATTGTTAACCAACTAAACTATTCATATTCATATCCCTCTTATTATGAGCTTTATTTTGATCTATGAACTATTATTATATGATTTACCGTTCTTGAGTTGTATCCAGTCTTTTAATCACTGTTCCCCACATTCACGGCCACTTTTGGCTGAATCTTGTATAAATGTTATTTTCTATTTTATGGTACGATGTGATTTGTTTGACTGGTATATAAACCCGCCCCCAAATGCCCTAGTACAGCCGAGAGTGGGGAGAGTCCGCTCTCCCTCTCCAAATGCTCTCACATGGCCAGCGAATATATAGTCTCTGCCAGGGAAGTCCTACTCAGTAACTTCTCGTGGCGGGGCTGTTGTTTACGAAATTGAGAGGAAGAAAAGCGAATGTCTAGCGCTTTAACCGGGTTGGTGGACAAGGCGAGTTCATCTAGGGGAGTTGGCAAACCCTGATTCCAAACCAATGGTGCACATGGGCTCCAGTATCCTGAAGTAACAAATGGCGCACGAATCAATCGTTGATCACCGGCTACCATGGGAATACATCCCCTCACGACGCTCCACTGCCTTGTGGATCAGATCTTTCGATCAAAGGCTCCGGGTGTGGGCCCCTAAGAAAACCACCTGCTTCAGTTTGGGCACCTGGGCAGTATCACAGCCCTCAAGCAAATCGAATGAGATTTGTGAGGCGCATATTTATCTGGTGCTTCCTTGTACCAATATTTATGTGTTTAAATAAAATAAAATATATAAACCCAGTATGTTTGAAATATAATGATTCATATCGCAGAGGCTGAGATTGGTGTTCTGGACTTAACTGGCTGGGCTAGGCAGGGAAGCAGAACTGACAAGTACTCAGGACTACTCGTAAGGGTTTCATGTCATTGGTCCGATCGATAATTCACTGCTCTTTAATTGACGGTATTATCACGTTATACATTAACGGGGCATCCAGGAGGTCACAAGTTATAACAAATTATTTGCTATATGAATTAAAGCGAAACAATAACCACGTTTGTTCTAGGGCACACGATTGGTGTAAAAAGACAACAACAATAACAATAATAATAATAAACTCAGGTACACATAGAAGCAAAAGAATTGAGGTGATGATTAATGCAGAAGAAACAGTTCCATCATACACAATCTGGTAATCTACAAAATAGAGTCGCTTTACTAAGACTAAGGTCGACAACCATCCCTGAAAAATGCATTTGATCAGATAGTTTAAGCACTGACTTTTAAAGCATAATTAAAAAAACAGTTTACAAAGATTTCGGAAACAAAGTACTTGTAATCTTCCCACTATGGCTTACGACCCCAAGACACTGATTAGGGAGTGTATGTGGTCCATGAACAGGGATTGTGGATACTGACGGTTCATCTAGAGGGGTTAAAAAACCAATGGCCCACATATACTCCAGAATCTTACGGGAAGGAGTGGGATATGAACATACTTTTGATCACTAGCTACCACACGACGGCACCTCCTAATATCACTCTACTTCAGAAGAGTGGTTGAAGCTTCCGTTGCAATCTAATACAACAGAAAGTTGAACATTAAAGATATGGTTTGAGAAAATATGAATTAGTGGAATAGAAATTTGAGGTAGATTAAGAACTTAGAATCTAAGGCAAGGATTTGAGTGAAAGTATCTGTTGAATTGCGAACGATCGTGGGCAATTTCACCTCAAGTTTTTAACTATAGGTTACGATAATCCTTTAATCAGTAAATCACAACGTAGAACTTCGTACGTAAGTACATCAGTTCGAGTTGTCATACCACACTAACATGGAGATACAATTGTCGATTCAAATCCCATAGTGGTAGAAGTAGTAAGAGTATAGGCAGTAATCGAAAAGATTAGGGTTGGAAGATGTTATTCAAGGAGCATAATCCCTTAGACACCAACTAGATTGTCTACCCCTACCTACGTCCAACAGTCGAACAGTGACGATTAGCCCACCTGATGAGGTGTAGGTCCGAAAGAAGTTCTAACTCCTAAAGTTCTAAAAGTCGTCAGGCCCAGACTACTTATAAATATACGGACATGGCTGACGAGTGGAGAATTTTGTATGGCATTGTTCACCTCAACCAAATCTTACTAAAGTTACCTCCTTATTAAGCCTCACATAACCTATAAATCTTGGGAGATTTTGAATCAAGTTAGGATTCATATAAAACTGAAGAATTTCTTAGTTCTGACACAGATAACCAAGGCATAATGCCTCTGTTATGAACGATTCCACTTTTTCTGAGAAGTTTGAATGATCAGAAAGGTGTGAACTCACGAAAAATACTCTTTAGAGGCAAAGACTGTTGGTCACCATCTGGAATTGCTACAAATTATATGGCTTTTAAAAATGATAACATCAAGGATATCGGCTAAATTATTCTTAACAGCCTAAACTTATGGATACTTTAAGCGCTAAAGTTATTAGGACGAGGGTGAGAAATTTATATATGTCCAGTTTTTGTTTAAGGTTAAAGACATATGCACACTTTACTGAGCACAACAAAAGAATTACCAGAACTATGAAACGTGTAAAGACGTGTTAAGTTGTGTTCCAAATTCTGCGCTAGATACGAAGGCGACAATTGGAACCAGTGAAATAGCATAAATAACTGAAATGTTTGTGGATGGTGTATAAGAAGTTGTAATTTGACGAAACTACGTGTTTAGTTACAAGGATCATCAGCGTTCCTAGCTAGAAACCTGGATAGGAAATAGTCAGGAACGCCATTATGGATAACCAAGGAGGTTGTAGCTGTAAATAATTCCCCAAAATCAATAGTTCATTAAGTGTTCGACATTGGATGCTGACCACGTGTTTAAGTGGACTTGTTTAGCTGAAGGTTTTCGGTAATGCATCCGTACCAGATCACGTTTCGACTCGGCGTGGGACACAGCTCCTGCGTTTCATTAGGCAGCTTATAGAAAAGGTCCTCGATATATTGGTAACGAATCAAATATATCTTTCCTGCCTCTTCTCGTCTGACTTCTGATTTCTATCTGACTGGGAACGATCAAATATAGAAGGTGCTACTGGTAGCTAGTTGTAAAACTAGAACATCCGTTGCATCATCAAGGTCAAGAAAATCCTTAGACGTAGGAAAAAGAATAGAAATGTGCTTATCTCTATAGGCCTTGAATAATACAGATCAACTTATTACAAGGCTGGAGACGTGTGAAAAGCACTGACCAGTAAAGCTGGACTTTCGTCTAAAAGACCGTGGGTTAGGGGTCGTGAAAACTATTCCAAAAAGTTGTTCTCGTATATAAAGCTCACCACTCTTGGTATAAGAAAGTCCGTTGTTATTGGCAAGAGTTAATTTGCAAAATCTGCAGCCTCATCAGAATATTTTAGTTAGATGTTTACTTATGACGTTAGTATAAAAACAACAGTGAATTATAAGTGTCAGCTTGTCGATAGATTCTCTAACTATTTAGAAAGCAGCTAACTTACGGTTACTTCAACATATCAGTTTAGATAAGCACCGAGGTCACAAGGATATCAATCAAAGGATTATAAAATCATAGGCTGATTGGATTGTTGTACCTCTAGGAATACTATTCGATATGTCTTTTAGCAAGTCTAAACTGCCGATAGACGGGAAAAGATTCAACTATCAGTGAATGTGGAACAAATTTCGCATTTGTTTTGAACGATTATCGGTAATAACTAGTCACTAGCTACGTAATTCTGTCATTTCTGGGGCAAAGCTTATTTTGTAGGTGACCGCTGACTATTGAAGCGAACTGTACTAGCACATTCCTTTTTCGTTGACCAGAATATTATTCCTTGATTGATAAGAGCCCTTTCAGTAATCCGTTATTAGTTTAGATTGATTTATGAACTTGATGTTTAAAAGTCATGTTTTACCTATTGATTTTCTTTCTTCCATATCTTTCGCTACTTTTGGCAACGTTACTATAAGACAAATATTGCAGTTAATGTCTTTTATTTTGCTTTAAATAGGTCAGGAGTCACTGAGTAAACCAATGTCATGGGTATGCTGCAATTAGTAGAACTGTGGACACTAAATCCTCAGCTAACTTTTTGAAATTTAGAATAGTCTGATGGTAGTGAACCAAGAGAGGATCTAAAGACCATATGATTCATTTGCTTATTAATTATGTGGTTGAATTTCAGCTGTGGATTAAAGATGCCTTCCAAAAACAGTCTGTTTCTATGGGATGTTGGTGTTCCAGTATTTGGGGTATTACCATCTACTTACCAGCAGACAATCAGAACAGCTTTTGTTAATGGAGCTTTGGAGACCAGAATACTTAGTTTGAAGTGAAATTAACTGTTTATCATCCCCACTGATCTTCCTATCTTATGGAAAATTAATCTGATACCGAAATATTGCTTTTGAACTAAGTATTATATTTCAAGAAATTGGTAAAATCAGAATGGATGAAGGGATCAACTGAACAGCTTAAGATACAAGGTAGGAACGTAGTCAGTAATAGTTCGGTCAGTGGGTGCACTGTTTGAAATTCAGACTAAATGATCAAGTGTAAGGGGCTATAAAACCACTAAAAAGTTTGACAAGCTTGTAGTGACCGGCCAGTCTCGATAAGAACACGATTGGAATAACGGAAACAATTATTATTATTGTAACCAATTGTACCAGAGATTGTTTTACTGTATTTGTTTAACTGTATCAGACTCACTTCTTGTTCCATATACCGCCTGGTTTGGTTCGAGCTTGCTCACGCACTGCTTGTTCGC